AGGTCATTTGCTGCATTTTCTTGTCAGTAAAGGCCTATGGTGTTTATGTAATAAACAAAATAATACAGAGTTGTTTATAGATGTGTTCTGTTAATTTCTCTCCCTGTGCTGAACTCAATATCTCACAAGTGAGCGCAGCAAACGAGAAACTTGAACAGAGATTCAGTGTTTACCCGCATGCATGTTATCATGGCCGAGTGATTATAAAACAGTTTATAATCTCTTTATCGTGGCATATCAGGACGCTGTTGATTGGTTACTTGTGAATGTGGGTTTTGGTGATCTGCTTCAAATCAAGTCAAACGTTTCCTTATATCCACCCACACGTGAATTCTCTGTCGGGTGAATAGAACTTTATCAGACTGTAAGACTTCTACATGCACCATCAGCTCCGTACTATCCTCCAGAATACTACTTCGTCATGATTACATTTATATCTTGAATTCGGGGCAGGTGATCAGAGCAAATGAGAAAATTTAGGATTATTATGGCAGTTTGTTAAGGCACTGGAAATTTTCCTTAAAAAAATTCACTCATGATCTCTGAGCTGATTGTTGTACATCTAACATCAGAATGTATATTCTCGATACTGTCCTCAGGAGAATTTGTTTAACAATTGAGGGCTTCTTAATTTGGCGATTATTTCCTTTATTCTGATTACCTTACTGTTTGATTCAGGGGTGATATAGTAAGGAGAAATTAGATACCAGACATTCTTAGGGGTCAATGCATCTCTGGGTTAATGGATAGTTATCTAGAATAAACCACGATGTTTCGTTAAATTTTATTTATCTAGGCAGACATGCTTGACGATATACAATTAATTCACTGGAGAGCTGACAATTTACCAACACAGATTTGACTGATACATATCACCATATCACTGGGTTAATATTCGTCTTCCTGTCTTTCTCTATTACGCCATTAACACCATTTTTTTTTCAATTTGTACAAGCTTCTGCAAAATTTACTTAGGAGTAGAAAGAGCAAAAAATCCAAATGAATAAATATGTGAGCCAGATATACATGCATCATCTGACCTGAGCACTTAGTATATGCGTGCCGTGCGGTAAATAAAATTTATGGTATAACATTGTTAAGTAATGCAGCCATCTACTAATCACTTAAGATCTTGCATTTTTTTTTTTTGAAGCAAATCACGAGTAAGATATCAATAGCCACTTAAAATTGGAGAAATACCACTCAAGGCCTAGCATTGTTAAACTACACAAACTTCTACTAAACGTAGCGGAAGTTACGATTGTGATGAGATAAATCCTGAGGAGGATATCATTGGTGAATTTAGACTGAATAAATATGATTCATGGCTTTAAGCATTGTAATACAACACAGCCATCTACAAAACATATGAGATGTTACCACTGTGATGACAAAATCATGAGGAAGATAACTTCAGGTTGAATAAATATGAATCTTGGTTTAGCATTGCTATACAACACAGCCTGCTACTGAATGTTTACAATAGGTGCGATATTGATGGTAACTGCAAATTGAATAAATGCAAAGTATGGCTTAGCATCGCTATACAACAGCCATCTACAAAATATATCTTAAGACGTTAATATT